GATTACTATTACTGATTACCTTTACCATCTATAAGAAAATACATTAGGACATTGCTAAAATTCGGTCTCAATCATTCGCAACGTACGCCCGTAGTTTTACCTCGATATGAAGTCGATCACAGGAGAAGTGTAACGCGGTGAAACTCCCTCCTTTTTCCGTCGCGGCAACGTTGGGGTCGGCGCCTGCCTCCAGTAGCATGCGCATGATGTCCAGCTGGCCAGCCCTGCGAGAAAGAGCCGCCATGTGCAGGGAGGTCTGTCCGTACGATTCCGCGGCGTTGGCGTCAGCGCCGTGTGAGAGCAGCATCCGCACCACCGCCTCCTCGCCCTTATTCACCGCCATCATCATGGGCGTCTCCCCGCTCGTATCGGCGACGTTGGGGTCGGCACCGGCCTCCAGTAGCAGACGCATGATGTCCAGCCGGCCAGAGCGAGCCGCGTCGTACAGGGAGGTCCATCCGTACGAGTCCGCGGCGTTGGCGTCAGCGCCGTGTGAGAGCAGCATCCGCACCGCCGCCTCCTTGCCCTCCCTCACCGCCATCATCAGCGGCGTATCCCTGCTGTCCGTATCAGCGACGTTGGGGTCAGCGCCGGCCTCCAGTAGCAAGCGCATGATGTCTAGCCTGCCAGAGCAAGTCTCGAGGTACTGGTATATGCTGGCCTGTCTGTCCAAGTAGTCGCCGTCGTGTGTGAGCTTATTCACCCGCTCATGCGCCTCCTCGCACTTCCTCATCACCTTCATCAGCGGCGTCTCCCCGCTCTTCGTCGTGGTGACGTTGGGGTCGGCGCCGGCCTCCAGTAGCAGGCGAACGATGTCCAGCCAGCCAAAGCAAGCCGCGTGGTGCAGGGAGGTATCTCCGTACGAGTTCGTGACGTTGGGGTCGGCGCCGTGTGAGAGCAGCATCCGCACCATCGCCTCATCGCCCCGACTCACTGCCATCATCAGCAGCATCACCCTGCTCTTCGTCATGGCGACGTTGGGGTCGGCGCCGGCCTCCAGTAGCAGGCGCACGATGTCCAGCTGGTCAGAGCAAGCCGCCATGTGCAGGGAGGTCTGTCCTTGCGAGCTCGCAACGTTGGCGTCAGCGCCGTGTGAGAGCAGCATCCGCGCCACCGCCTCCTTGCCCTTCCTCACCGCCATCATCAGCAGCGTCTCTCCACTCTTCGTCATGGCGACGTTGGGGTCGGCGCCGGCCTCCAGTAGCAGGCGCACGATGTCCAGCCGGCCAAAGCGAGCCGCGTGGTACAGGGAGGTTCGTCCGTACGAGTCCGCGGCGTTTGGATCCGCGCCGGCCTCCAGTAGCAGGCGCATGATGGCCAGCTGGCCAGAGCAAGCCGGCGACAGGACCCGCGCGTTTCCGCTGGCCACGGCTGCGTGCAGCATCGTTCCGTCGACACGGTAACGCGAGCGGAGGTCCGCTCCATTGTCTAGCAGCACGGCTGCAACATCCGCGCAAGCTGTTTCGCAGGCGAGCATGAGAGGCGTTCGCCCGCGCTCATCCTTCTCTTGCAGGGGCGCATCATGCAGCAGCAGCTGTTTCACAATCTCCATCTTCTCTTCATTCCTGTCCCATGAAAGTGCGCAGGCGACGTGGAGAGGCGTCTCCATGCGTACGTTCACGCACGATGTGTTCGCTCCACCTCGCAGAAGTTCTAACACTTTCTCAACGTCCCCACGTGAACAGGCAGCATGCAGGTCTGACATTCTTCTCCCAACTGTAGGCACGCACTGTGCGTCGTTCGGTTGCAGGAGGGTCCAGTGCAGTCACCTACCTAAAATGCACACTGATGTTCACAAAGGCATGTAGAGTTGATTGCGATGTTAATATAGTGCATGACAAATCGAAAACAGCTTTGTTCTCCACGTATTCACATTTTCTGTAATACAGTGTCCAACAGATCGATGAAAAAGGTTATTTTCCTAATAGCACAAAAGCTGAAGTCCAAGGCCAGGAAGCAAATCGGAAACAAATAAAGTGATTAAGCCTGGAGGATTGCCAAAGCATGGATACATCCACTTAAATATGCCTGGAGACCACCGCTTCCCAATGCTCCACCCGCTTTGCCAAGTGCAACACGCAATTTGGTAGTTAAACATGCGCTGAGGCATAAATGTGGTAAGACAAAAATTAACCAGTGCAGTTCTGAACTGTTTTGAACAGAATAGTGGAATAGGAGAAAGTGTAGAAAACAACTTGGTTAAAGAACTAGCAAGAAGTGGTGTATCCATATGGAATCTAATTCTGAGATATTATTCATTTAGTTTAGGTGCTAAGATCTAACATCAAGTGAGACAGGACAGGACAGTGCAGTACGTGGATGGGTAAAGGTGTTTAGTTGGTGTATACTGTATAGGGACACCTGAAACTTATTTTAATTTATGTATTTAGACACTGAAGCCTGCATGGCTAGATAACAGTCTATGCTGCAAGTAAAAATGATAATTAAACAAGTGCCACAGAGCGACAGCGCTCAACTGACGTGTACTGTAGCCGGGTATTCTTCCGAGAAACTCACTGGCAACCGAATCAAGTGCGCCCTCCTGCCACCGCGTTCGCGCTCAGAGCGTATATCTAGGATACTACTAATACAGACCTAAAATCTATGTAGGCTTTGCTATACCTACTGGTAGTACAGTAATAAAGATACAGAGCTCTGTGTAACTTTAATGACTTCGCTATATTAACATGTTATCATGGATATGCGTCGAGCGCGAGCGTAGTGGTGGTGGTGGGCACTGGGGGGAAAGTGGAGGGAGGGGGCGAGTGGAGGGGGTTCTAATAGCAAAAGCAGTTGCCGCGAGATTGCGCGTGCAAGTGTCATCAATAATCAAAGATGGCATCACCCTTCGTGCGTGATAACCTCACTCCATTGAGTTGCTGAAATCCAAGTATTTTTTATTTAGGCAGGCGAGAATTTTGCTCAGCTGTGAGTTGTTAACACATCTGCATTGGAGGTTGCCAGGCAATAATTATGATTAGAATAGTGCCATTTCATCCCCATGCATGCGTAATGGGCTGCCCCCATGTTTTTGCCTACCCACGCAAGCATTCAGGGTTCATTACAGTGTGCTAATACAGGGTGCTACTCAGGGTGCCAGTACAGACTGCTTTAGAAAATAATATGATTTAAGGAGCGTAAACCTTGTTCAACAAACATTTGCCTTTGCAATTGAACTGTGTAACTGTAGCCTCACATCCACAATAGCAAAAGCAGTTCAGTCCTTTGTTAACAGTCAACAAATCCATGTTTAACGCTCCTCTTGAGGGTCAAAAGGTTATTCGACACTTACTCTTCACACGTACGTATCACAATTACATCAATTACCTTGGGTTGATCAATTAATCAATTGATTAATCAATTAATCACCAGGAATGAGTATTTGATTATCATAATCATGATTGATCATATCTGTGTATTCTCGATAGTTGTCTTATTAGATAGATATCGAACATTGTGTCTGTTTTTGCAATCGCTGGGTTGTATTAAGATTGCCTTTGTTCCGACCTACTGTATAAACTGTATATTTCGCGGTGGTTTAATTTTCACGAATTTCGCGAACGCGTCCCCGACGCGAAAATAACAACACGCGAATAATTCATACCGAATAATACCGAATAATTCATAATTCACCGACCGCCAAATTAACCACTCGCGAAGTTTGAATTCGCGAAAACATCTGTACGCGAAAAATATGGCGTATAAAGCATTTAAAACATTCTTGACGTTGCTCGTGTTGTAGAAGCGGGGAAGTGAAGAAAAGAGTGGCAGTCCTGCGAAACGCTCGAGGAAGCTGGCTAGCAGATCTCCCGTGGTCGCTCCGCTAGACGTGACGGAGAGTGACGAGGAAACCTTCTACTACACTCCGCCGCAGAGCCGACCGCAGCTGATGCGGCTGCAGCACACAGACCTACCTGTCACGTTCAGTAATGTATCTGATGTTTATGTTTTCTACCACCAGGTGTCAGTAGTAGTACCACCACGGCCATAATGTAATGCAACGCAGAATGAATATTGTCAACTTTATCTACAATCATCTGCTTCTCTATTCACCATAACCATCACCAGATGCGTGTTCAACAGCGCGAACGCTCGCGTGCGCTTGCCTTCTGAACGACACCGCGCGGTCGAGCGCGCGCGAGTTGTTTTCAAGATGGCGACGGGCAATCTGGTGAATGCGAATCTAACACTTCTGACTTCAATTTCACTCTGTTTCAACTTCATTTCATTTTTCAATCATTCATTCACTTGTGAATTCAATTCATATTAATTTTGTCTGCTAATTCGTTCAACAGTATTTGTTCGAAGACATTAAAATCTCGCGATGAAATCTGCTGAGGAAGCCGCCATCTTGGATAAAGCGAGCGCTCGGTGCATAGCTCGGTGTCGTTCAAGTGGCGCTGCGTTCGTTCTGCGAGCGTTCGCGCTGTTGAACACGCCTCAGAAGATGCTACACTACCCCTCCCCCCAAGCACGATGTGCCACACAAGCACGTCAAGCGCGTATGTCACTCGCCAATCGCCGCTCCTCTGTCATGGTCACCTCAGCGCAGCTACAAGGTAAGGGCAAAGATCAAGCAGGCAGTGAGTACGTACGTGAGTATTTGCTTGGCTTTGTTATGTTTGATTTTGAGTTACATATACACTTCTAGTGCATACCTATGAAGCACTCACGCAGGAAATGTTAATTTTCATTAAATAGGGGAGATGTTATGATATATGACCGTCAGATGTCGCGTCGAGAACAACGTGTGTGTCGCGTGGTATGCACGCATGGTGTGGAAGCATTCCAGTTATTCAAAAAAGATATCTGCGTTGACTATGATCATGTGTGAGCATCAAACATAACAGGCTTATTCCCTATAAGTCTAGGGCGTAGTGTCGCTTCAGTCTATGGTTGGACTATATATATATATTATATATATATACCATATTAATGGGTACATTATGACAAGTGGATTGTCTGAACAGTAGGTCATTAATGATTATATTTTTTTGGTGGTGTGTGGTAGCAGGAGCACATCAAATATGTGATTCTGGTGGTAATAAGTACTTTCCGAATTGCATACATTTCATGGTAAAATGGGTTTTTATTTTTTAAATATTCAGAACGCAACTAAGCCTTTAGATTTTTTTACAGAGCAAAATGATTTGTAAATTTTTAACATTTGTACTCGTGGTTATTAAATCGTGCCAATTCACCAAGACATCATACCGATAATCTACACATTTCTATATAAACTGAATAGTGTTACTACATATACTCGATTTTACAATGCAATGAAACACGTCTGCCAACACGTGCAACAATTAGAACATAGATCTACTAAGTATTGATAATATATTCTGGGTTATCGCATCTCCAATCCTACATGGGCTTCCTCGGTTAACACGCTTAGTGTCGCCTACGTTGGTCTAGCGTGTGCCCTGACAAATTCTATGAGACTCGGAGGCAGCTGTAGCCTGTTGTCGTATGCAACGCTGTGACTGACGATAACACGCGCGCAATGGCACTTCAGCGAATGATACTGCGCGCTCATTCTGCCATGTATCTCGTCGCTCGACTCCACGTTGCCACGGAAACGCGTCGGGTAAATCCGGCGCCAGAGTTTGTATGGCGTCTCTCCCCGTGCGTTCACCACGTCGACGTGTGCGTCGTGGTTGAACAGCAGCATGTGCACTATCTGCAAGTACCCCTCCCTCTGTCGCGCGCAAACATCATCTTTCCATGCGAGCATCGCCCTACAGAAGCTGTGCAGCGGGGTGTTGCCCTTGCTGTCGCGTGTGTTAACCTGTAGAAGTACGCCGGCGGACTCGCACGTCTGTAGGAGAGCTGACGCCACTTGTACCGCTGACGCCGCTTCTGCTGCGTGTACTGTGTGCCAGCTCATTTCGGGCCTTCTCACCTCCGCCTGGCTGCCTATTATAGCGAGCGGCGTCCTCTTGTTACAATCGACGAGGTTCGGGTCAGCTCCGTGTTTCAAGAGGTGAGTAATCATCTGTGTGAACGAAAGAAACGAGGATCGTTAACAACCCGATTTTAGGTTCGTTCCTTAAAGAACAAGTTTCTCCGAGCATACTACCTTTATTACTGTTGCCGATTACTAACTATTACTATTATTAAATTATTAACTATTAACCGATTACTATTACTGATTACCTTTATTATCTAGACAAAAATACATTGGAACATCGCTAAAATTGTCTCCGTCGTTCACAACGTACGCCCACATTTTTCCTCGGTCCCGAGTAGATTGCAGGAGTAGTGTAAAAACTGTAATGCGGTGAAACTATTTAACAGATCTATTATTAACTGTTAACCCAATTACTATTACTGATTACCTATACCATCTATAAGAAAATACATTAGAACATTGCTAAAATTCGGTCTCAATCATTCGCAACGTACGCCCAGAGTTTTACCTCGGTTCGAAGTCGATCACAGGAGTAGTGTAACGCGGTGAAACTCTTCATTTCTTCCGTCGCGGCAACGTTTAGATCTACACCGGCCTCCAGTAGCATACGCATGATGTCCAGCTGGCCAGAGAGAGCCGCCGTGTGCAGGGAGGTCTGTCCGTGCGAGTCCGCTGCTTTGGCGTCGGCGCCGTGTGAGAGCAGCATCTGCACCATCGCCTCCTCGCCCTCCCTCACCGCCATCATCAGCGGCGTCTCTCCGCGCTTCGTCTCGGTGACGTTGGGGTCGGCGCCGGCCTCCAGTAGCAGGCGCACGATGTCCAGCTGGCCAGAGCAAGCCGCGTGGTACAGGGAGGTCTCTCCTTGCGAGTCTGCGGTGTAGGCGTCGACGCCGTGTGAGAGCAGTATCCGCTCCATCATCTGCTCGTCCTCCTCCACCGCCCTCATCAGTGGCGTCTCTCCCTTATTCGTCTCGGCGACGTTGGGGTCAGCGCCGGCCTCCAGTAGCAGGCGCACGATGTCCAGTTGCCTGTAGCAAGCCGCGATGTGCAAGGAGGTCACTCCGTACGAGTCCGCGGCGTTGGCGTCGGCGCCGGCTTCCAGTAGCAGGCGCACGATGTCCAGCCGGCCAAAGCAAGCCGCGTGGTACAGTGAGGTCTGTCCGTACGAGTCTGCGGCGTTGGCGTCGGCGCCGTGTGAGAGCAGCATCCGCACCACCGCCTCCTCGCCCTCCGTCACCGCCCACATCAGCGGCGTATCCCCGCTCTTCGTCTCGGCGACATTGGGGTCGGCGCCGGCTTCCAGTAGCAGGCGCATGATGTCCAGCCTGCCAGGGCAAGCCGCGATGTGCAAGGAGGTCACTCCGTACGAGTCCGCGGCGTTGGCGTTGGCGCCGGCCTCCAGTAGCAGGCGCACGATGTCCAGCTGGCCAGAGCAAGCCGCCATGTACAGGGAGTTCCTTCCGTGCGAGTCCGCGGCGTTGGCGTCGGCGCCGTGTGAGAGCAGCATCCGCACCGTCGCCTCCTTGCCCTCCGTCACCGCCTTCATCAGCGGCGTCGCCCCACTCTTCGTATTGGCGACGTTGGCGTCAGCGCCGGCCTCCAGTAGCAGGCACATGATGTCCAGCCAGCCAGAGCTAGCCGCGTAGTGCAGGGAGGTCTGTCCTTGCGAGTCCACGACGTTGGCATCGGCGCCGTGTGAGAGCAGCATCTGCACCACTGCCTCCTCGCCCTTACTCACCGCCATCATCAGCGGCGTCTCCCCGCTCTTCATCATGGCAACGTTGGGATCGGCGCCGGCCTCCAGCAGCTGGCGCATGATGTTCAGCTGGCCAGAGCAAGCCGGCGATAAGACCCGCGCGTTCCCGCCGGCCACGGCTGCGTGCAGCATCGTTCCGTCGCCACGGTAACGCGCGCGGAGGTCCGCTCCATTGTCTAGCAGCGTGGCTGCAACATCTGCGCTGGCTGTTTCGCAGGCGAGCATGAGAGGCGTTCGCCCGCGCTCATCCTCCTCTTGCAGGGGCGCGTCATGCAGCAGCAGCTGTTTCACAATCTCCATCTTCTCTTCCGTCCTGTCCCGCGAAAGTGCGCAGGCGACGTGGAGAGGCGTCTCCATGCGT